AATTACAGTATTGTAAAACTCTGCTGTAACCTATCAAATTGCATTTATATTTAAAAATGTCGACATGAATATAAAATCAGTACATAAATCTATTATATATTTTTATATATAGAAAACACTGTGCACCAGTGTAGGTTATAGGTACATATTTAAATAAGCCGATGTGATGTTACCCCCGAGTTTGTCGTTAAATATTCAATTCGACTCGACAAGATATTAACATTAATTGTTATTCAGTCACATGTATTGTACGATATCTTACATTATGTTCTTTTGTTTCAATTGTTATTATATACTACGTCTAACGTATTGTCTATTTTATCTACGTTCCTAAAGTTATTAACATTATTATAAACATATATTTAATTCACAGTAGTTCCTATTTAAGCATTGACGTCACTGTTCGTCTAAAATCATCTCCTCTATAAATTTTACCATACGGTTATTTCGTGTGCTTATTACATATATATACGTGATACCTCTCACATAGAATGTCATCATCAACCATCCTTGTTGCCCATAAAGCTATAAACATGATATTAATGGTTTGGTAGCGGAACATTTTATGGTTAGATAGGTACGTTTATGTCGGTACCTCTGTACGTACCTTGGTTGATAGAAAGTCGTGCAAAACTATGGGTCTCACTGTATTTGAAACTGAATCTATTGCTGCCACATATGAACATTCACTACACCCATGACTACACATTCTGTTGATGTTTTTATGTAATATTTGTAATAACAAAACATTATGTGTCTGATACACAAGAATTACATAATTGCACATACGAAAATGCACGTTTCAATAATTAAAGAAAGCTTAGTTTTATTAGCTTGGCATTATTATATGAGAACAAAGGTCGACTTTGTATAGACATGGTATAAGATCCGAACATCACGTAACAAAACTAAATTTAAAAGTAGATGAATATACTTGGAAGGCTACAGGGGAATGAAAATATATATTGATCGATTAGTGACAATATGTAAATGTTTGTATTGTGACATTGATGAGTGGGCTAATAAAATCAAGACAACAATGAAAGGCAGAAACACTAATAGGAGGCAAGCATAATAATCATACTGACATCAAATACATTCATAAAACAAATTGATACAAATAAACTACATACGATTGTGTGATTCATTATCACATGACGGATATGGAGTATTACTTTGACTTTGGCAGTTAGAGATTCGATACAACAAATAATTTAAAATTGCTGATATATCGTTCACTTTATCTCTCTTAGAGTGCAGGGAAAATTTACGAAATGAAATAAAGTTCTCTCTACTAGAAACCAACTTTTGGCCGTTAAAAACGTCCAGGGTGAATAAAGCTTTTAGACACATGGCGATTTGGCGTTAGTATTCAGAACTATTACGTTTCCCATATTATTATTATTTCATGTGAAGTTTCTCAGAGTTATCGTCTTTGTATCATATAGAGCGTAGTCGTACCTAGTAGTAGAATAACTTCATGAGTATATAAAATATAGGACAGCTCTATAATATCATGACGTAGTTATTGGTTCTCTACCTCGACACAATACAGAGAAATATAGATTGGAATTTGACTGATTTCTACTGTATTTTCAATAGTTATCAAACTGACAATAAACCTTAATAATCTACATAATAAAAACCTAAGTAATTCAATGTGAATTACGTAAGATCCAATTGTCGTCATTTGATTCATTTTTAAATTTATAAAACGACCAAAGAAACGGACAACTATACATATATGAAACCGCCGTTTCAATATCGAAATTAATATGAGATCAACACGGAAGTGTTATTCTTTTTATGATAAATATAATTATATTTATAATAAAAATTATAGAAATACTTATTTTTTGTTGAGTCGATTGAGTATGATAATTGATAATTATATTATCATTTAAAAGCTAATCTTTCATGCAAATATTAAATGCTATTGAAGTATTATTTGATAGGACACTGAACCGTAATGATGCGGGCTCATTAATGCACCCGTTCTACGAGCAGCCTTCTGACACGAGGAATGAGTAATTGTAACGGTTGTACAACGATAACTCGTTATTGTTCTGTCAACATGCGAATAACTACAGGAAATATTTTGCATTTGTGTAAATTAGTACTTAAAATAACATGTAAAGTAATTGTTAATGGCTATACAGAGTCAATAGTACCTAATGGTAGTACTTAGGTGATACTTAAACAATGACTACATAGATTTCGATTCTGTTTTGAATATATTTCTTAAGAAAAGTTATAAATTTTTATAAGTTCGAGTTCTGATTTACCCTTTATTACGGTTGTTGATTGTCATTGCTATTGTTTAAATTATTTATATGTAACCCAAGTATACACATTTTTGAATAATATTGAGTGCTTTCACTCAATATTATTCAAAATTGTCTCTCAATTTAATCTTTTATGTCGTACATTTTTAAATACCCCTAGTTAAACAGGTAATTTTTAAGAAAAGCTATAACTGTTCAAAGAGAGAAGTGGTTCAAATCTATTTGGAGAAATAATAGCCGACCCGGACCCTTGTGTGCCCTTGTCCCAACGGTCGACGTTAACAAAGGACAGGTTCCCTTTACAAATCCCACATACATCACTTCTATTATTATCATCCACATTTTTCTCGTGACGTCAAACAAGATATAACCGTGTGATGTTTTAAAAACCTGTTTCGTTACGAGTCGTATTATGAAACGTGTTTGATAATTCATCTGAGCGAATTAGTTGAGCGTCTTTCGACGCCATACTTTCACCGACTTTTATTAACACTACGGACACGACAAGCTTGAGCCCGTTCTCCTGACCTCTACTGTCGACGCCAGTATTGTTCACGAATACGTTGCTTGCTTGTCTGACATTTTTACAGTCCATTAACATGATATCTCAATTGTTTGACTAACGAGCAAATCAACTTGAACGTTCTAGCGACAGTATAGTTAGTTGCCTCTACTCCTACAATGCCATCAGTTGATATATTACAAACCAACTGATCAATAAATATGTCTGTCAATATTAATTCTGAAGCAGAAAGCTTTTATACATTAAACGTATTTTATACATTTTTATCATCAAGAAAAGGTACGTCAACTCACAAATTCAATACTATTAATATATTAACCGCCACTATTATTATTGCCTTGTTTAATTCAAGATTACCGGTCTTTCCTTTTACCGGCAATCATTTGCGGCAATTATTTTTTTTCTCTTTGACTACTATAGACCTGCCGATATCGAAACGGCGTCATCATTATAAATATCTCGCTATCGTGTCTATAGACCGCAATAAATTTTCGTTCTGGCTTAATCATATCCGTCAGTAGCCATAAAATATGTTTTTAAATACGTTAAATAGCTTACTGGACATAAAAAGCCGGTAATCGTAATAGGGAAATATGAAAAACCGGTATTTTTTCTACTTTAAAAATGGATTCGGGGCGAATGCTCACTTAATTAAATATTTAAATGATGTTATGCTGGTAGAGCCGGTTCTTGGTCGTGTCAGTAACATACACATATCTTAGAACGGATTTGCGGAATTAATGTCATCGATAATGTAATTAAAAAGTTAGCTAAATCAAATTTCGCTTGCTTTTTTGGTACACAACTGTAATAAATTAAGTTCTAACACCTTAATAATCGTGCTTATCGTATAAGCACAACGAAATGCCCAATAACCTATTTCAAACATTCACTTACTCACATTTATTTTAAATCCTTAATAAAGAGTTCTGTTTACCCTCTAAAAGGTCATTGCAATAAGAAACGTAATAATAAAGACCTTGCATAAAACGTGATATTTTAAAAAGAATCAAACAACTCGATTACAAGAAACCCAGTTTTACAATATTCGTGTGGATAGCGAGCATGAAAGAAAATAAAGGTCATAATAGCAGGCGATTCCACGTGTGTGGCAGTCTTTATATCGGAAGGGAGAACGAAACGTGTTGTTCTAACACGTTCCAAACCAAACATACGACAGTACCAACTAACAGAGAACGGGAATATAAAAACATGTATTCCATAACACGAATACGATACATAACAATTAGACACGGGCCGGTGCAGTACATACAACATAGGTATATAACATCTTATTTACTAGTAAAGAGAAGAAAAAAACGAATACAGATTTATGTAAAATAATCTATCGAAAACGACGTGACCCCGTTACTCGGATATCTAATTGAAATTCAGATTGCGTGATGATAATAACAAATGTATTGTCGTCCGCTATGACCTCTGCTTTTTAAATCTCGCCTGCTGTGATGTATAACCGGTCATACATACGCAGATGAGGGCTTGATACTGGACAAACAAAGATTTGAATGTGAAATTAGAGACGATGATCTCGTTTTTTTACAATGTAAACAAGTAGCACGAGAATACTGATGGCTATAAAAAGAATATGCTCAAATTTTTATGAAGTTAACACCGATAATCGTATTAAATTACTTTTTCTAACATATTTTCCCCACTTAACTATGTTAATAATTGCTTTTTTTAAACATAGATATGTTATGTTCAATGTATGAAAGCATTGTCACCTCTCTTTCATATAGTTCCAAAACGAATATAGTTATTTCACTGCCGTTTCTATTTGCAGTTTGCTTTATTTGACATTATGTATGTTTGATCAGAATCTGTTAATTGTCTCTGAATATTTTACATTATCAGCAATATGTTACTTTAATAAGTTTAAGAACATGACATGGGCATTCGTATATTTGGAGTTTCGTTTAGCACTTTCCGTCAGCAAGAAGTTCAAAAGTTTTGATTAAAGTACTATTTACTTTTTGTACTTTCTTAAGAGATAGACAGGTAATCAAGTTAATTTTATTTTAACTATAACAGATTAAAAGAAGAGTACTGAATAAATTTCGGTGCACATTGTTTGATATAAAAATTATGAAGTACACTGTGTTCAATATGATACGTAAAAGAATGAATACATAAATTCCCAAGCTTTATAGCGAAATATAAAAGAATTCTACCTTTTTTGTTAATCTCGCCGGATTCACGTTCTGGTGATGAGCCTGTAACAAGAGAAAAATTACATAACATTAATTCAGAGAACATAACATTGTATTTCTAACCTACGAGTATATAGCTCACTAAGGTAAGTGTAAATTTAGACATATGTGATATATTACGTATATGATAATTCATTAATAATTCGTGTGGGAAAAACCGGTTCATACACCAATAATAAATACAAGCAATTATGTCTTAAAATAAATGGTTAAACACAGTGGAAATGTAAACCTCTTTGTCGATTCAAAGGTCACACAAAGTATTTATTCACTTGAATATTTATAAGGTTCTCAATAATAGCGAGCGCCAACCGGTTACGGCAACCTGTCTCGGTGGGTAAAAGGTATGTGAAATAAACAACGTTTTTTGTTACATGTATTAAAATAACTAGTTATCTTTACTTCTTTTGGGGAAGTGGTTTTGGCCAAAAAATATTGTTGTTTTCTCACATTATAGTTATTAATAATATTGCTTATAGTTATAATATTGATACACATAAAAATGTTCTCTATTTTATTATTTAACTAGCTCGCCCCGAGAAGCTATTTAAAAATCTTCCTCTTGAATCACTCTTATCTATTAAAAAAAACAGTTTCAAAATCGGGACAGACAGCGACAGCGACTTTATTTTATATTATGTAATGATGATGAGAAACATGACTAATACAAAAAAACTACAACTAAATATACAAAAATGCTTTTTTTATGATAAACTTTACTTTGTTAAAACTCTAGTAATGTATGGGAATATGAATCAGTGTGGTATCTAATAATGCAATACAGAGTAATTAAGTAATGTTGTATGCATTTTGGAAATATTGCAAGATATTATTTGTGTAATAATTATACATATAGTGATTGATAAAATACAATTGTATAGTGAGAATTTATCATTATTATAATGTTTTTTTTTAATAGTGTTGACCATTAAACAAACATTGAACTGCTTAACATCTAGTCATATTTAGATATATGTTGGATACGGATATACTAAGACGGATATGCAATGCAAATTATAAGATTCTGATGACACTTTAAATCCGTAACGTAACGAAATAACGCATATGAATAAATGTAACGTAAGAATATCAGCCTTTCATGAATACTTTTACTAATAATTCTGTACCTGATTGACAGTTGAATAATGATATAATTAAAAGATAAACATCAGGTGATTATGGTTGTTCTGATAAAATAATAAAATATACGAAACAATTTTATAATGGCTGACTCCTGGCCAGGCATGCCTGGTATACATGTATAGTGGTCGCTTTGGGCAGGTGTACCGCTGTGCCGTCTGCTGCCCACATGTTCCTCGCAGCTGGTGAAGGTTGAATAACCCTATGCAGGCAACTAATGGAATTGAATCAGAATTACGTACGCGCACTAAACGATCCGTGTGGTCATTGGTAATTTAGTAATCCTTATTTTATGAGCCATTTAGAATATATGGGTAGTGTAAGGATTATTTTTTTTATAAAACTATAATATGGATATATTTTTAAACATGGATTTGGTAACGAATTTATTCTAATAAAAACTTTAATCTTACCTAATTTATTATAGGAATATTTTTCTAAAAAATACTGAGAATATTAAATATCCATTTGATAGGTGAGTATTTTCTACATATAATTATTAAAAGAGTCCAAATTAGCCATATATATTATTGCATAATTCTAAACAATTGTGCATCAATATCGATATCTAATTTGGATTCTCTCCAATTTGGTTTGTCGGTATGCCGATTGCATAGTAAACAAGGGCCCGTAAGACCAAGTCCAGCAACATCCCCTTATAATAGATCTAATTACATAGTTAATACTCGTTATACCTTAGGGGCGTGTTAATGACGTTTGTAAAGGATTCATACCCATTTTGATTTTTGTAGATGGTAGTTTATATTAGAATTAGGTGTCCGATGCTCTTTTTACTGTTATTTAATTAAATGCACTAATATAAATTTAACAAAAAAAATATGTTTGTTAGTTAATAAAATTAATAATTTAACGATACAAAAAGCATTTTTATCTTCCATTAAATACGATCAAATACGTCGGTTGGCAGCCAATTGTAAAGAAATTAATGCACTAATGGAATTACATTTCAATGTAAAATCTTCTTTAGCACACGAATGTCATCAATAAATCGGTTTTCATATCCTTATGTGTGTCATTATACCTTATCGGCTTAACGAAATCAACCTCCAAGTTGTTAACTTTTCGCATCGTATCCACTCACCATATTAGGTAGTTGGTACCATGCAGCTCTCTGTAATCAATACATCAAAAAACCTGCTATCCATAATTGTCAAGTGGGTGTAAAACAAGAAACAGCTGTATACTCGTATGACTCGCTTGGCATTTTATTGGAACGAGTTTAAGTTATGCAACAGATTAAAAAAAATATCAACATAAATGCAGCCATTTAAGTACACCTGTCAAGAGCAGAAATTAATGTACAAACATAATGATATGAAAGTAAGTTGTAGGGTATAGTCAAAGAATGGAAAGTAAAATATCGCCACACATAGCCTCACCGCATTTTCCTGTAGACTATTAATCCTGCCTGGATTAATAGTGGCAAACCACAATGGCTACGGAAGCCCACGCAAGTCTCAGGGAAAAATCTATTGTCTTGAACCTTACTTTAATGAAAATAATTGTAGTTACTAATATGAAAGAATAGAATTTGATTACAACAAAGTGGTAATTATTGACTAAAATAGTATGTCTGCTCGTACGAGTGAATATATAACATATAATCATGATATATGATTCACGACTGTTATCCCGATGGGGACATGCTCACATTTCTCTCGGTATATTTGAATGAATGGAGTGAACCTTCTTAACTTGTTTTATAATCGGTATTTCCATTACTGCACAGTCAGTCAGAATTACAAACAATCAGCCAAAAGCTAAAACATGATTTAGGACTTTCGTTCTAAATAAACCACTAGACCGCGACGCTCTCATGCTATGTTCAATGGAAACCTGACAAATTAGAATTTCGAAATCCGATTACCATTAATGCACTAATACACGTTTCATTTGTATATTAAATGATAAATGATTGCAATACAAATTATCATCTATTCAGACAAATTGCGACTGATTACTACGGAGTAGTGCTGAGATCGAGCGCATCCAATCTCTACATCGCCTGTCATATCCAATCAGCAAAGCAATCATTATAATCACTCTAATAGTTACATCATACATTTTCATTAAACAATTACAGATAATGTTTAAATTGAGGTGATTACGGGCGATAGTTTTATATAATGATGATAGTTGAGCCTGCGATCACATTTGTATAAATATTATATACTAATTATAAATTATTGCACCACATGGAATATAGAGAATATTTTTTATTTTCTAAACATTGCACCCGTTACCACCCTCGCCTTGATAAATCTTGTTGTTTTTCGAGTTGTGGAATATTCTACAACTAAATGTTGAGGTAATTTTAAGGACTTAGGATAATTACATATTACATCATTTGTTTGCTCTAAAATAGTATGTTAGGTACAAGTAATTTATTTTTTAAATCTTATCATAAGCTATTTAAAATTAATAGTAGCAGCTCCGTTCATTGCACTATTATGCACGAATGTGCCCATACTAGGAAACAGAATGCTAAATGCTGCAAAAAACAAATGCCATTTTCTCTTGATGGCTTTAAGCCAGTTCCTTTTACAGCTGGCGAAATATGTCGACCGACCAGTTTGCCGACCAGTCTCAACGTGAGAAATGAGGACTTGGACAAGCACCATGTGTCGATGTCCAATTACATGTTCAAATGAAAGAATGAAGGCCATTCTTCCTGATCGGCTCGTTTTGTTATATCCATATTAGTGGTAACTGTAGAAAATAACATTAAATGAGGCATATCAGCCGTACAGATATCAAATTTATATAAACCCTTAATAAAATTGTGGAATAAGAGTCGTAGTACGAAGACAATAGGTTTGTAAGACAATGAGTGTACCTACTGTGTTTGTAGCATAAAAAGTACAAATATAATGGAACAAGTTTATTATACTTGTTCAATCCATTATATTATTATTTTGATTATGATTATAGTTGTTATTTATTTGTCAACTTCTGCCAGGAGCAGTTTGTAAGCTGTGTTCTAATTTAAATGGCAGTGAAATTACTGAGTACGAAGGCATAACTCATTAGAGATACTACTGGCATACTGATTTTATGTATATTTTTATGTATGTGCGTAGTTTGTGATATCATGACACTACTACATACACTGCGTTATAAAGATTTTACAATTTTAATTAAGTTTCAGTAGGTAATCAGAAACATAATTGTGAGACTTCAACAACTTTTGTAACAACACAGAATTAAGAAGATGATTGATAGTGACGGGTGATGTCTAATTTATCTAATTTTAAACACAAACAAATTGACATAGTGTATGAAAAATCATTTTAAAACTCTGTTATGACTTAATAAGATATTACAATGAAGTGTTAAACATTATTAACTAAACAGCTATATTCATCTATTCACTGTTACAATTATCTCAATTCTGTACATTTTTTTAACATCTATCTTTAGGAGTAATTTTATTTCTCTGGTACTAACTATATTTTGAAATCGTAACTATGATGAGATAAGATGTTGATCCCATACCACTATCAAACAGTAAACATATTACATTATGTTTTGACATATTCTTATTAGCAACAATCTATAATATTATATATAGCTGTCGTGATAGGCACATTTTTAATTATCTCTGTATTTTTCCTCATAAAACTCTCGATACTTCTCACTCATTAGATACTACATCAGATACCCACGTAAATATGCTTCACCATTAGTGACACATAAGAAAGTACTTAAGTTGCTTACATCCATCAGTCATAGTACCATTGTAGTATCCCGTCAACTTTCTAATAAAGATTAACAAGAACCAGTCCTGTGTATTGCTGTCGCTCGTTAACCGACAGGATATTGGCCGAACCGACCGGTCCTCC